AGAATTCATAAAGGTCTAAAAAAAATTATAAACATTTATATTGAGAGGGTATTTTTGTGCCTTAGTAATTTCATTTATAGATAATTCACCTTATTTATGAAATTATTTTTATTTTTATGTTGTTAATTTTGCCTATTTATTAGTAACTAGGGTTGTTCATGCTTTGCGGCTCTCAATTAATGCATTGTACTTTCAAAAGACAGTACACCTAATAAGAAAAAACTATTTTCATGAGTGATTGCTAATGTTACGGCTCCTCTTCTTATCGATCAACCATTCAACCTTCCTACGTGTGTTCATGAAAATCATACTTTGAGTGATTGCAAATTTCTCGTAGAGATCACATACAAATTCAACGATCCATTACTTAATAAAAGAAAAAGATTAACAATTGCTTAACAAACACCAAGATCACGAAGAAAAGTATCAAATAAGCATAAAAATGAAGAACTAGGAATCATAAACATAAGCTAAATAACAAACATACATGAATCCTTCAAAGCTCAAAAATATTCATGGGTTTTAGCTGAAGTCAACCAAATAAAGTACTTAACCACTCATGACAACAAAACAATAATAAAAAAAATTATGTCTAAATATCAAAGATAAAGAGAATTCAAGAAGAAGATGATAATGAATGCGTAATATAATAACCAATTAAATCGTTGCTTCAAAAAGCACTAAGTAACATTTGATTGATTGAAACCATGTGTAATCGGAGTTAACTATACAAAACCGCGGAAACAAACATCTTCGATGCATGTGTATAATCCCGCCGAACTCTTCTCACGAACGACCCATAAAATGTTTGTAACACCCGATACTTGCAGTTAATTCCTTTCTTTATTTGTTAAGTGTAAGTATTTAGTTTTGATCTACACATGGTGTAGATAGCCTCTACGCGTTATGTAAAAGGAAAAATGTTGACGGGCCTCTAACCTTTTAGTTTTTATTGTTGACCGTTGACCGTTGAGGTGATTTTTCAGACAGTGAGGTGATTTTTCTCACTGTATTCGTGCGTCGAAGGCACCTATCTATCCTGGTGTAACACCCGATTCCTGGTACGCAGTTAATTCAAGCATTTCTTGTGTTTTTCTATGGGACTCAACGATTTGGAGGCCCAACTCGTCGAGTAGAGTCGAGATCTGCGGACAGTTTAAGTGACCTACTTGACGAGTCCAAAGACGGACTCGACGAGTAGGTGTTGTTTGGGTAAAACCCTAAATTGAGGGTTTGCACCCTATTTAAACACCTTATCTCAGCCTCGTCCCATATACTCCCAGAAGACATCATATCGAAACCCTAGCTGTTTTTGTGTGTTCTAAGGCCATTTTTGTGCTTTTTGGTGGATTGTGAAGCTTGAGAAGAGAAAAGGAGCTTGTGAGACCAAAGGGAAACAAGAAGATCCAGAGTTTAGAGCTCATTTTCAGCTTATTGGAGGTATGAAGCTGAACCTTTGTCTATAGATCTTGATTTTTGGGCCTTTTCCTTCATCTTTCTAATCCCTAGAGAGGTTGTATTCGGGATTAAGTGTTGAAAGTCAGTGTATGCTTTAGATTCAGGTCTATTGAGGGGTTTTATGGCACAAAGGTGCCCATTTTGCTGCCATGAACACCCCATGCACCTTGGAGGCCATCTTTTTTGGCTTTTTGGGCCAAAGACCCCTTGCATGCGTACCAAGTTTGGAACTTTACGTGTAAAATGGACATTAGGAGGCCAGGTCTATGGTTTTCTTGTGTTAAGTCCCACTGAAATTTGACTGTATAGTATTGGCCAAGGAGGGACTCGGCGAGTCACTTGGGTGACTCGGCGATTCGAGACGCTTTTTCCCCAAAAACGTCTTCTGGAATGGTTTTGGTTGAGTGAAAGTAACGCTCACCCTGCTAGGGGTTTGCCTTGGACCTGGAAATCATGGGACTCAACGAGTGCTAGAACAGACTCGACGAGTCCAAGGCAATCTCCTGGTCTTTGAAGATGGACTCGACGAGTTGTTCTTACAACTCGACGAGTCATAGACTGGACGCATTCATATGTTGAAGATGAAATCGACGAGTTCAAGGAAGAACTTGTCGAGTCAGTTGAAGATTGATTGAAGTGTTGTTGAAGGTGAACTCGTCGAGCTCTTGCTATACTCGACGAGTGGGTTCGGGTTTGTAGTATTATGTGGACGAAGGGACTCGACGGTGTGGACCAACTCAGCGAGTCTGGTCAACCAAAGAGTTTACCTGACCAGGGTTTGGCCTTGACTTTGACTTTGACTTGGATTCAAGTTGACCCTTGAAGGATTGTGGGTACAAATTGATAACTTAGAAGGGTTGTCGTATAGGGATTAATGAGTCGAGGAGAGCCGAATTCACGCCGAGGACAGTTCAGACACTACACGACATCGAGGTGAATTACCTTCCAGTAGAAGTGGGTCTAAGGCACCAAGGCCGACCCACTAGTAATTGTTAGTTGGGATGATTATCTTTGTGATAATTGTGTGGTCTGTTATTGTTGGATATGTGAGTATGCTAGATTGCTAGATATGTGAGTATGCTAGTTTGCTAGTTGCTATGTTATGTGAGATAGTATCAGTAGGGGGGACAAGTCCTCGATTCGGTCGCTAGGACCAATGGGTAGGTCGGATGCCCCAGATATGTCTAACAACATGATTATGATATGATATTATGTGTTAGTAGTAGGGGTGAAATAGTCCCCATGTTCGGTTGAGATAGACCGGAGGGTAGGTCGGCACCCCAGAATGACTTGACATGGGTAGGTCAGCACCCCAGAATGGCATGACATGGGTAGGTCAGCACTCCATAATGGCTTGACATGGGTTGGTCAGCACCCAAAATGGCTCGATATGGGTAGGATGGGCGCCCCAGAATTGCCCGACAGTATGTATGCTATGTGATTGTATGGTATGTGGTACAGTGGGGGAACTCACTAAGCTTCGTGCGTACAGTTTGCAGTTTTGGTTTCAGGTACCTCCTCGTCGAAGGGGAAGGACATCATACACACACACACATTGTTTTTCCACATTCATGGGATTGTTATGGGAATCGTACTCTGACATTTTGATTAATCACATGTTTTGGTTTTCAAACATAGTATATGTTATGAAATGGTTTGATCAGACAATGTTTATTTGCAAATGATTTTACCAGTTATTAATTGAAAAATGAAATTTTTGGACGTGAAAAATGGGTCGTTACAGTTGTGTTCGCAGGATTGTTGGGGATTAGAGTGCACTTGAGGATTATTATCTATAAGGACTAGTTTTATTCTGAGTGACCGGGCGGAAGGTCGATGGAAGTGGTCGGCCGGAGTTATATTCATTAGACAAGGGTGGTACGAGAGGATTGCGGGATAGTTGGTCGTAGCGGACTTCGAGGACGAAGTCTAGTTTAAGTGGGGGAGTTGTAACACCCATAATCATAAAGGCCAATAAACGAAAGGAAAACCCAAAGTCAAGGGGGGGGGGGTGTCAACTCGTCGAGTCCAAGGAATGACTCGGCGAGTCGAAGCGGGATCTGTGTGCAAGGTTAAGTGACCGACTCGACGAGTCGGAGAGTGGACTCGGCGAGTTGACCCCCCTTGACTTAGGGTTTTCCTTTCCTTTCTTGGCCTTTCTGATTATGGGTGTTACAGAAGCTTTAAAGTTGGAGGTTTAAATCTTGGAGGGAAGACATAGATCCATAATCTCCCCACTGTTGCAGTCTCTTTGAGGTATCAAGTTTATACATTGCTTTACTATCATTTAGATCTCTTTGTTTTGGGGTTTATCTTGATTTTGGGCTCATAGTTGGGTTGTCCAAGAAGTTGAGTGTTACGGGGGTTGTTATGTTAGATCTGACCATTTTTGGGACTATGTCTTGGGAGTTTTGTTGGATTAGGTGTATAATCCCATAACTATAATTGGTATGTACTTGACCCGATAGTAGCATGATCATTTTGGGTTGCCTTCACCGTAGCAATTTGATAGGATGGATATTTGAGAAAGAGGTTATTTGTGATTTATTAATATATTATATGAATAATATATTAATTGAGAAATCATATTATTTAATTGGTATTGATCAATAATTAATTTGGAATTAATTTAGTGATCAAAAGAGACTGATTAAATTTATGGGGATTGATTAGGTATATCAGTAATACTTATAGTTTTGGGATAATGATCTATGGTTATTAGGGATGGACTAAACTTATATGAGAGTCTATGAAGGTTTAGTTCAAAGGACATATCAAATGTGAAGAGTCATGGTGAATTAGGGTTTACATGTAAGAAACCCTAGGATTTCCACACTATAAAAGTAACCCCTAGCATCCCTAAAATCGGCCATTCTATTTTAAGGTGAAACCCTAGCCGATTTTTTGTGCTTCCTAACCTCTCTCATAAGCCTCCTATTGCTTTTGGTGTTTGTGACTTATTTGAGGTATCACACTTGAGGTACTAAGCTTTGAAAGTCTAAGAACTACAAGATACAAGCTACAAGCTACAACAAATAGGTACTAAGCTCCAAAGCATTAGGGTTGTATGTGCACCATAAGATTATTATAGTGTTCAAAACCCTTCAGTGGTATCATAACCTAGGGTGTTTTCTGTTATATTGATGCAATTGTATTATTTTCAAAGCTGAAAGATTTCAATTTTTGCTCTCTGACTGCTGGACTCGATGAGTCTCACGGCCTACACTCTAGTGTGTGTTCTTGGTGTTCTTTGTGAAATGATGATGATGCAAGTGTTTACGGCCCAAAGATCTTGATGATCTTGGGTTCACGACTTGATGTTCTTGACAAATGGTGAGGATGCAAGGGTTCACGGCCCAAGAACACTCAATGTTCTTGAGTTTACGGCCCAATGATCTTGAAGATTTAAGAACACTAGATGATCCTTAGCAATATCTTTAAGAAGATTCAAAGGAAAAGGATGATAGTTTGGAAACAATTGTGGTTGTTTTCGATAAGTATAAAAGTTAAAATTTTCTGTGAAATTTTGGGTTGTTATAGAAATGGAGGATAAGGTATCATTCTTTAGAGGACAGAGGTTGATCCATAGAAGCCCTAAAAGTTAGAGGTGCTTAAATAGAGCCCACACCCCAAATATAGGTTTTGTGCAAACAATGGGGCTACGCTTAGTGTAGACATACCTACGCTCGATGTAGCCCTACACTCGGCGTAGCTCATCTATGCTCAACGTAGGAACACAATTTTAGAATTCATCATTTTATACTAACACATGGCATCTCGAAAAACGGATGTTACACTACATATCCCTCTTGTACCCATATCCACACCCACCCACACCTACATGCACACTCGCAAGCCAATGCGAACAACCCTACACTAATGCCGACGCCCACCCCCACATGCATACATCCATGCTGACATTAACAAATCCACATAGGTTTCAAGTAGGCAAGATAAATGAAGGTTTATCATTTTTAAAATAATAATAAGTTATTACAAATTAATAAAAGGGTATTTTGGTTATATTATAAAAATTTACTTTCCAATAATTTGTAAAATATTGAAATCAAACAAAAATAAGATTCCATTATATATTAAGTAAACACAATAATATTTCAATTACTTCAAAATCCAATTCACTATATTCTAAATATTTTAGTAGATTAATCAGTTATTTAATTTCAACCCATGGAAACCTCAAGAAAAACAATTACTTTTTTTTAACGACAAACATAATCTAATGCTAAAGTACTCTTTAATTTCATATATTTTCATGATGAAACTTGAACCGTTAACCTTAAGGAGGGTTGATAACATTTGATACCGTTAAACCAGAAAAAAAAAACAATTACATAATTTAAAATAGTTATATAAAGATTAATAAATTATTTTTATTTATGATTAAAGCTATAACTTTTTAATTAATTGCAATACATTTCGGTTGAGGAATAGCTGGCAATAATTCAAGCAATAAATGGGATGGAGTAGGTTACATGAATCAATTTACAGCCCGCCTAAATTCGTGAAAAAAATTGAAAAGTAGCGCCATTTCAATACCGCCATTTCACACCATAATTATCTCCTAGGGTACGAAAAACGACTATGAGAAAGCCTGGTCACCATTTACTCTCCTTCGGACGACCACCACCGGAGAAAAATTATCGCCGCTTGTCCTCTCGCATTTGTTTCGTTTCAGTAGACGACCTATGTGGTGTAAGTTTGTCTCTCTTACCTTAATCTTCATGATTTAACTTTACGTCTTTACTGCAGATCATCTTCGTTTTTTTTTTTTTTTTTTTTTTTTGCTATTTTGTTATTAGCTTCCCTAAGTTTGCAATTGTAAGGGCTATTGGCTGCTTCAAATTTGCAATTGTTTTTAGTTAGTTTAATCTTTATCAACCCTATTAAAAGTCTTAAGGTGTTTACTTTAGGGTTCCCCCACCAATCAATTCTACACCCAATGCTAGGCATGTTAAATCTAACTATAGAAGCTAGTCAAGTAATCTACTACACTTTTGCATTAAATACGATTCCATTTTAAAAATCACAAACCCTATACCCATACAGAAACAGAGAATCAAAGAGCCATACTCAGAGGGAATAACAACTTTTAAATACTCGTTATAATTTGTTTTGGTTTGTTGTTGTACAGAGATCACACAATTTCACCTAATTAGTTAAAAGTTATAATGTAAAAATTTGCTTCCAAATATTTAAATAAAAAGCCCTCACTCTGTTATTGTTCTATGTACACAACTTTTATGATGTGCTCATATCTCTTTTTTTTATAAGTTTGTCTAGAAATTAGAATAAATATGATGAACGATTAGCCACACCAAAATCTTGAAAACTATTATATATAGCCAATGTGTAAGTATTTGTTGATTGTTAATTAATTTTATTATTTAATAGTTGTTATTAAGTATATGACAGCCAAGTTAATTGATTTTGCCAAAATGTATTTATAACTTCTTATTGTGTTTGATTATTTGTTAATTATTAAAAAGTTATGTTACATAGAGGACATCAAAATGAAGAAACAATAAACTAATACCGTTCCAAAAAAGAAAACATTATTATTTTTTATGTATTAGAGTAGCCACAGATGAATGTTTATATACTTTGGTTTTATATTTTATTCGGCCCCTCCGGTCAAAACTTTTGTGTTTCGCCTCTGGATGTCTGGACAAATTTGAAGTTATTTGTTTTTTTTATTTATACTAAAATTTCAAAACGTTACTAGTATGCATTGGGTCCTCTTGATGATTTGCCTTTCAAATCATATTGTATACATTTTGGATTCTCTGGGTCCTCTTGATGATTTGCCTTTCAAATCATATTGTATACATTTTGGATTCTCTGATGGAGCCTATGAAAAATCTTGTTGACAACTACTACTTGGTTAAACTTCTTGGAAAAGTAAGAAATTTTTTAGTATGGCATGAAAATAACATTATTTCTATAAGTTTGAATACAACTCTGCTACTTGTATATTTTTAGGGCTTTTGAGAGTTATGAAGAGAACACATCAATTCTAATTGTATGGAAGCTCACTGAGGTAACTTATCTCATTACTTATCTACTAGTTAGATGTAGTTTCATTTATGATTTATGTTTACCTTCTATCACAATTTTAGTACAATCATGCCGGTGTATTGGAATGTGAGCTGAGTGAGCATTATGTAATGAATTGGATCTTTGATTTTGTGTTGAACAGACAACATGGATTTCCGAGTAGAGTAAGTACTTAAAAAAATCTTTTATTCTAAAGCCAGAAACAAATTGTTTCGTTATTTAGTAGTTTTAATTTTATTTTCATATAGCTTGGTATCCTTTGGAATGACAAAATTGCATTTGAGGAAAAGGTGTTGGTTACATCTGTTGCTACATGGGCCAGAGAATTTCTGAAAAATTTTATGAATGATGTGGTTGTCTAAAAGTGCATATAAGGTTAGTTGTTAATCTTTATAACATCCTACTTTTAGTTTAATGATTGTTTGCTAAATTCAACTCTTTTAAAATGCTAGACAAAAAACTAATTATTTATTTTGTTTTGTTTTTTCAGTGAGAATGAAGGATACTTCTTGTGTTTTGCTTTTAAGTGAGGTTGGAGGATAGCTGCAACACTTGATTATTGGATAATACCTCTGCATGGGAAAACAATTTTATTTTCGAATTTATTTATGTAAGTTTTATGTACTATGAAATGACCAAATCAATGAGTTTTTAGCAACACTTAAGCTTGTTTTTTATCGATGACTATAATGATTGGTTATTTAGCATATTTATATTAATAAAATTTGTTCATCAATACATAATTTTTGTTTTGTTTTGAATGTGTGCTTTGGATGCAAGTATTAGTTTGTGCTTTTTATATGGTTATTTGAATAAAGTTGTCACCAATTTAATTGTTATAACTATGCTTTTTGGTATTGTAACTATAGTTGGTTTTTGCAAGGCTGAAAAAGACCCGGTTATTTGAATGGAACCGGTCCATATTTAATCTTTATATGACCCGGTTCGGGGATTGGAACCGGGCTCTTTTAGCCATATATGACCCGGTTTCGTATGGTTGGACCACGCCCTAATCTTCATATATAATCAAATATTAGGTGTTATGCTCCTTTTATATGTCCCGGTTTTATAAACAACCGGGTTCTTTTGTGTTAGATAGGAGCCGATCTTAAAACCGGGTTCTATTTAGTTTTTGCATAGGTCTCGCTGGTTTTAGGACCCGGTTCAAAACCGGGTTATTTAATTAAAATAACCGGGTCCTATAAGCTTTTTTGTAGTAGTGTATGACCAAATACAAAACATTTTTTGACATTTGAGATGGCCGGTGGATGAACAGTGTATTGATCATTCAATTAGAGTGTACTTTGATGCAGTAATTACCAAATAAAGTTTTGTTTTAGTATTTTTTTTCCTTGGAATATTATTTGTATACAGGTTTTTTTGAAATGTGTTGTACAAAAATGGGTAAATTGCAGCAAATAACAACTTACTTTGTTTTTTGACTATATGGTTAATGTACCTTTATTTTGTTACCCATGATAACAACATTTTCACAAACTTTTACCGATTATAGCAAAAGTTAACTTGGAGAAGAGTAAGTGAGTAACTATTTAAGTAGAATTTGTGCTAAAGGAGCTAAATTACCATCTATTGATATTCAATTGTCTTGTGTAGAATTTGTGTAATATGTTAAAAAATTTTAATATATTACACAAATTCTACACAAGACAATTGAATATCAATAGATGGTAATTTTGCTCCTTTAGCACAAAATCTACTTAATTAGTTACTCACTCTTCTCCAAGTTAACTTTTGCTATAATCGGTAAAAGTTTGTGAAAATGTTGTTATCATGGGTAACAAAATAAGGTACATTAACCATGTAGTCAAAAAACAAAGTAAGTTGTTATTTGCTGCAATACATAAACCTGTATACAAATAATATTCCAAGGAAAAAAAATACTAAAACAAAACTTTATTTGGTAATTACTGCATCAAAGTACACTCTAATTGAATGATCAATACACTGTTCATCCACCGGCCATCCCAAATGTCAAAAAATGTTTTGTATTTGGTCATATCCTTTAATGTCTCTAGAATCGAATGCCTTCTACAACCTCCATTCTGATGCATATTTAGCTGATTTCTCACTGTTCCATTAATCCCTAATGTGAACATAGAAGTTCGGAAAATAGTTGCAGAAGTTTAGAATGTGTGGAGTTCCATCATTCTTATGATGTTGATAACCAGTTATACGCAAGATACAAACTCAATATAATAAGAAAAGGATAACCACACAAAAAGAAAGTTAGTCATGGCAGACAGAATTTGACCATATTGTGACCTCGAAACTGATACACATTTGTAAAGAAATCTGAAGTTATATAATTAATACTACAAAAGGATTAAGATGGTGCGAGATTATTTTTTTGTTTCTAATCAAAATCAATATCTTAAAGCCAATGAGTTTGACATAAAAGTTCAAAGTTTTATGAACTGATGTCTACATTGTACACAATGTCATTATGTTTTCTAGTACTTTCGTTCACAAATCCACAAACTTATTGTAAGCTGATATTACTGAAAACTACAACATGACAACGACAAAGAAAGCACAAATATGTGGTGCAATGAAGATAAAATAATACAGTTGCAACTTGCAACCAAAATACATAGCAACTTAATTATGAAAGTTGTACAAAAATCAAAAGCTATTGAACTATATATGTACCACCGTTTTTTTTCCTTTTTAACGTAGGTTCAGGTCCCTTAAAACACACACACACACACACTCATACACACTACAAAACTCACCTAATGTAGATAATGTATTTACCGCTTGAACCTCTTTTTCATTGATCCGACCATTTAAATTAAATAAGAAAACAAATTGACAAACTAGCTACTAAATAGGACATTAACAAAAGAATAAGTAAAACATCAAAACCCACGTTCAGCTCCTACTTTTCGGGTCAATCAAGACCAAGTTTTCTTTTGATCCCAATATACCTATGACACATGATCCACGGCCCGCTCACCTGCTTACCGTTGACCCGTTAAACAAAGTCATTAACCCAACATTTAGTACTAGTTCTGTTTGTCAGTTCAATCTTAAAATAATATCATCAAAAAACCAAAAATAAGTCTCAAAATTAATTTTCCTAAACTTTGGAATAATTATTGAAAATAAAAGAAATATAGAAATTGAAATCTTACATAATAAGGAATATTGCATTTACCAAAAAAAAAAAGACAAAGAATTTGTGATGTTTATTATAAGAGGTGAGATGTAATACCTAAAAAATCAAGAGAGAGATACAAGGCGTAGAACAATCTTTCACATCTGTTGAAAAACACTGATTATTAATAATATTATTGAAATGGATAACCATACTTTTAGTACTTATATAATAGAAACAGATGATGGGAAAGGAGATGACATACCTTTTCTACTAAAACACGCTTATTGTCAAATTTGATGGGTCCGAAGTTTCCTTAAGATCTGTAATCTTAGGGCATGACATGATATAAAGTCTTTCAAGGCAGGGGAGGTGTTGTAAGACCTCTGAAAATGATTCCACATCAGTAAAACCATCGAGTGATAGAGAAACGAGAGATGGTGGAAGAAGAAAAGATGATGATGAAGGAGTATTCCTCAGATCGTCTGCAACTGCAAATGAAACCACTCCTGAATTTTTGCCAAATAAGAATAGTTCAACCAGTGAGGTAGGAAAACTTTGTGGGCCCCACTCTGACATGGGCTTATTTAACATTCCTATCATTAGTTTTCTTAAATTAGGAGGCCACACCCCACAAGGGAAGGAGTCCGTATTTGGACAATCATGTATCTCCAGTTCTTCCAAAGATGTGAGACTTTGAAAATGCTTATGAGAAAATGACGTTAGATTCTTGCAATAACTGATTGCAAGAAATGTTAGGCGAGACAAACTTAAGTCTTTTGCTGGAATCGTTTTGGGTTGTAACTGTACATTATCACAATCACCGACTATTGATTTAGTGAGAGGCGACGGGTTCTCCTGCACTGCTGAGAAGGTTAATAATGTCATTGAATTACAAAAACTGATCTCCAACCTCTCAACGCTATTTGGACAATTGTAACTCTCCAGTCTGTCACACATACTAAAAGTCACTTGTGTAAGAGATTCCATGCTATTCCCAAAATTAACCTCTTTCTCCGCTGATGAAACCAACTTATTACAATACCATACTTCCAACGTCCGTAAACTCACAAGACTCTTGCATGCTTCTGATTCCCGTTACCACAAGTATCTCGGTTCATCACATCTACTAATAAATAGATGTTCAAGTGCCCTAAGATGCATTAAATCTTCTCCATGTAGTTGGTCCCTTAACATTCAAAATCTTCATTTCAACAAGTGACGAGGACAAACCAATCATGTGTCTTAAAACTGCTTTGGAACATTGTTCTATGTGTATGATCCGAAGTGAAGGTATTAATCCGATTGATACTTCATCTAGTTCAGGACAACATTTTATAGAAATCTCATGAAGATGAGGGAATGGTATAGGAGTTCCATGGTCGCTGCCAATATTAGTTGACCATTTCTGCCAACCTTGCATATCATTAAATTTCAGAACTTCAAGTGATGGAAATGCAATGCCAAGATTTGAATTTGTAGGTGCAAGTACTCAAAACCCACAGTCTTCACCTCATTCATCCTTTTGACAACCAATTTCTTATGAGAACGTAGAATTCCAAGTGTTGGTAGATGTGTACTTTTGCAACCACATAATGTAAGCTCCGTCCGATCAAACAAGGGATCACCAACCCAACTAGGAAATCTCGTTCCCTTGTAGACCACAATCTTGAGATTTTTTAAATTAGGATGAGGCCTTAGTTCTTTGAGCACTTCATAATCAATCATCTCATTCTGAGAAACATCAGATGTGTCACTCCATTCCATCTCCAAAACATCAAGACCCTTTTTTTATGTAAGTTGGCCTCCTTTGCGTGTGTTGGATTTATAACTTTGTCTAACCCAATAATGGAAAGTCTGCCTTTAAGATCCGATAGGCCTTTAAGATCGGATATTTTGAACCCGTTATCTCTTTCAACGATGACCTTGGTAAGAGTTTGTAGACTTGTCAACACACCGATCCCTAAGGGCAACGTGTTTACCTTCGGAGTGTCACTTATGTCAAGATGTCTTAGGTTTATTAGCTTTGCAAAACTTCCTGGCAAGCCAGATAACTAACTGATAGCAATTATGAACCAACAAGCTCTGTAGAATTATAAAGGTGACTCACTTGTTCAGGTACACATGTGATTCCAGTATAAGAAAAATCAAGATATCGTAGATGCTTGAGACTACCAATAGATTGTGGTACCTTTGTGATTATTCGAGAACCTTGACTTGTGTAAAGGCCCGAACTCAAGTCCATGACAATCAGCACCCTCAGGAATTGTAGCTCAGGAAGCAATTCAGCCAATACCTTGTCCAAAAGATCGTCTTCTTCCCATCCACTTGACATTAGAATCAAAGTTCGTAAGCGTTTAGCTCTTTGTAGTTCCTTGATATTTCTATATGATCCATATCTTAGAGATGCTGAAAAGTGACAAAACTTATCCAAACTTTCATTAGTGTTGGATACATCCACCTCACTATCCAATCTAAATGAAAACTCTCCTGCAACACTTGTGGCCAAGTCATTTATCAGGTCATGCATTATATATCCTAACTCGTCATTTGTTGAATGTTGAAAAAAGGATCTTCACTTTAGCTCTTCAAAATACTCATGGCCTAAACGTTCCATTGACATGTTTCCTTAGGATTGGGATAAAAATCCTTCGGCCATCCACAATAGGACTATTTCTTGCTCGTAAAACAAACTGTCCTTAGGAATGAAGAAGCAGTACGCAAACAACTGCTTCAAATGTGGAGGGAGATGAAAGTAGCTTAGTCTTAAAGCCAGAAGAATATCACTTCCATCGTCTATATCCCATATCTCACTCTTCAACAATTCCTCCCATTTATCGCCATTTCTATTTCACTACTAGAAAACATGGGGTTTTCCTACGGAAAATAGCTACGGAATATTTCCGTAGCTAATTAGCTACGGAATGGCTACGGATCAACTACAGAATGGGACGCCCTAATTTAGCAACGGAATAGCTACAGAAGCTAGTTCCGAAATCGCCAGAGCCCTCTTGTTCTAATCTTTTTCTTAGCAACTGGCTTTCAGAAGTCTTGCTGCGAGGAAGATTAGAAACGCCTTACTATATTGAATTGAGAATAGTGGCATTTTTTCTGCAGATATGGAGTTTGTTGAGAGGACTTGCATCCTTCGTTCGTAGTGGTCATTTATAGCTGTTTTTCCAACTGAACCTAATTTACTAGTCCGTAGCTATTCCGTAGCTCATCAGCTACGGAATTGCTACGGAATAGCTACAGAAGTCAATCCGTAGCTATTCCGTAGTTCATTAGCTACGGAATTGCTACGGAATAGCTACGGACTAGCGATAGAATAAAAAAGCTACAGAATAGCTACGAAATAGCGACGGATTTATAATTTCCATTATTATTATTATTACTATTCCCATTATTATTATTTTTCATTATTCGACTCTTAAATTTTTTTTTGGATCATTTTTTCTTATATATTTAAGACACGAACAATTAAACATCATACTAATAATACTACTAATAATAATATTTATAAACATCATAATAATATATAACAATTGTAACAAATGTGTTTAACACACAAACAAACGATTAAACGAAAAAAGTACGTTCAACACATCAATAAGATCAATAAAATGAAATAATCTATGTTTAATTTATAAATAATGAAAAATGATTATAATCAAGGGAAATATGTATGTGTATGTACGTGAATGTAGGCGTGTACGTAAATGTGTATGTGTATGTGTGTATGTATATGTATGTGTATGTGTATGTTTATGTGTATGTGTATGTGTATGCATGTATCTGTATATAAATGTGTATGTGTGTGTATTTGAATGTTTATGTGTATGTGTATGTGTATGTGTATGTGTATCTATGTGTGTATGTGTCTACATGTATGTGAATGTAGATGATAAGCATTATAAAGTCGTGAGCACCTTCGGGATCAAGTACTCGTTGCACAGTTTAACAATATAATGACTATATTTTTCACCAACTTGTGATGGGTTTATGTTTGTATACATGAATGAGTTGTGGTATATATGTATGTGTATATGTGTATGTATACGTTTTTGTGAGTATTTATATGTGAATGTAGATGATAAGCATTAGAGTTTTAAACCATTAACCCGTATGTGCACACGACTTTATGAATGATATTAATAGCTATAAGTTGGTGAAAATATAGATAATCATGTATAATAGAGGTGTGAAAAAAACGAAGCGGAAAAAACGACGTTTGGTGCCCGAAAAATCGAAAATAAGAATTATCCGTAGCTAATCCGTAGCTAATTAGCTACGGACTAGCTACGGAATTCTAACGGAGAACACATTCCGTAGCTAATCTGTAGCTAATTATCCGTAGCTAATCCGTAGCTAATTAGCTACAGAATTCTAACGGAAAGCACATTCCGTAGCTAATCCGTAGCTAATTAGCTATGGATTAGCTACGGAATGTGCTTTCCGTTAGAATTCCGTAGCTAGTCCGTAGCTAATTAGCTACGGATTAGCTACGGATAATTCTTATTTTCGATTTTTCGGGCACCAAACGTCGTTTTTTCCGCTTCGTTTTTTTCACACCTCTATTATACATGATTATCTATATTTTCACCGACTTATAGCTATTAATATCATTCATAAAGTCATGTGCACCTTCGGGATCAAGCACTCGTTGCACAGTTTAACAATATAATGACTATATTTTTCACCAACTTGTGATTGGTTTATGTTTGTATACATGAATAATTTGTGGTATATATGTATGTGTATATGTGTATGTATACGTGTTTGTGAGTATTTATATGTGAACGTAGATGATAAGCATTATAGTTTTAAACCATTAAACGAATAATGGATCCCGTTTGTGCACACGACTTTATGAATGATATTAATAGTTATATGGTGGTGAAAATATAGATAATCATGTATAATAGAGGTGTGAAAAAAAACGAAACGAAAAAAACGCACGTTTGGTTCCCGAAATATTAATAATAATAATAGAAATAATAATAATAATAATAATAATAATAATAGAAATAATAATAATAATAATAATAATAATAATAATAATAATAATAATAGAAATAGTAATAATAATAATAATAATAATAATAATAATAATAATAATCATAAGAAGATGTTTAAATGGAATAGTCAACCATGTTGGCGTGGATGTGGCATGCCCAGCCGATTGGTAAGTTTGTGGTAATGTATGCAGGCAACCCGAGTTCGAATCCCACCCACGTTTTTTTTGCTGGTCGTAGCTAATGCGTAGCTAAACCGTCGCTAAAGCCTGTCCGTAGCTAATCCGTAGCAGATTCCGAAGCTGGGTCGTAGCAGATTCCGAAGCTGGGCCGTAGCAGTGCGGGGCATAGGAGGCGGGAGGGTTATCCCCTAATTCTACCGACGAGCCACGTTTTAGGACATCACTCATACCGATCGATATGTCGATAGTGACAGGAGTCGCAGGCTCCAGCAGTCAGGGTGCCATCAATGAACAAACCGACATGGCTAATCCTTTAGCAGACTTGGCTGGGATTCTTTGCCATCAGGCTCGAGGGCCGGGTCATATGTCCCAACTCATACAAACAGATTATAGGCCCCAGCTCCAACAGACGTTTTATAGGCCCCAATCCCCATAAATGGGTTATACGCCTCAGTTTCCAAATACAGGTGATGAGTTGCCGACCCCACAAACGGTTTTGAGGTCGGGTGGTCGTGATGGATTTGAGGAGTACTATTTTGAGGGTGCAGATGCACAGACAACCTTTCGGTTGCCACAGACCCCGCACACGCCACGGCCACCGAACACGCCACCGACGCCGCATGGCTCCACTTCTAGAGGTGTTACGGGCGGCCACGACTCGAATGCGAGTGATTTTCAGGAGTCTTCGTTGCCCCTCATCAGCCGAAAAGGGAAAAAGTTAGTGTTTTCATATTTTAAAACTTTAATTTTTGATGTTAAAATTCTACTTATATAGTTCTTTTCAATGTAGGTTTGGGTCTAGGAAAATCCACAGCACGTGTATTAGTCTCTATTGGGAGAATATGGATCATCTATGGCCCCGATTTAGTGATATTCCCTATGAGGCTCTTTTGCAGATGTTTTCGCGTTTCAAGGCAATATATTAAATATAAATTATTGTATCTTATACTCATTTGTTTTTACTTTGTATTTTTAGATTTACTTTTTATTTTTTTACAGACCATGTACAGGTGGAATTCACTAAAGAATAGTAACATATTTGATGCCTTCAAGTGTGTCCTCAAGGATAGATACAGGGATCGGATGAAGCATATCAGGATTAAATCTAGGGAAATGGCACGAAATGATGGGAAACCCGACCCCCTAGGTCATTGTACCTACTACGAAGGGATGCATAACTACCGCCCCGAGCGCGTACCAGAGAATGTGTGGCTACGTTTGTGTGATGTAATGGATATGATACTTTATTATCTATTTTGTTGAATTTTAATTTCCTATTGTATTAGTATCCTTATATTTTTTTTTCTTTTCACAACATTGGTCGACAGATAAGTGGAGAAAGAATTCAAAAATTGCTCTGCAGAACCGCAAAGTCGCAGATGCCAATGGGTCGACAGCTAGGCACACCGCGGGTAGTATAGGATTTGACGAGCACCGTAACAACTTAGTAAGTATCATAATTATAAATTTTATTATCTTATTTTTTTTAACACTAACTACATCAACTATACTTTGTATTTTATGTAGGAAAAGATTATGGGTAAACCACCCACACAATTTGATGTTTTCATGAAGACGCAAGGCACAGCTGAGGCGAAAAAAAGATATTTTGTGGGAGATCATGAAAATCTCGAATAGTGCTCACTAACTGCCAAAGAAGCACAAGTAACTTATCTTTTATCATTTATGTATATTGATTGTCTTAGTATTTTTGTACATGACAATGATACTGTTTTGGTAATTTGTAGGAGTCGTATCTACAGGAGATGGTCAAAAAACACGAAGAAGACTCTTCAAACCATAAAGATGATGCGAGGGTATGGGAGGAAATTCAACTTAGGAGAAAAAGGAAAGAAGAAGGGTGATATCTATGGCATAGGAGCATCAGATATACATTTTGCGATTACTGGGTCACCGTCTTCCCAATCCACCCAATCAGATAGTACACAACAAGAGGTATGTTGTTATGGTTTAAACGTTAATTAGTATGTTGATAATATTGATTAAGTTGATAATAAACAAAAGTACGTTGCTATTATGGTTAAAGGTTAGGTAGTTTGTTGATAATATTGATTAAATTGATAATAAAGAAAAGTATGTTGCTATTATGGTTAAAAGTTAGGTAGTTTGTTGATAATATTGATTAAATTGATAATAAACAAAAGTATGTTGCTATTATGGTTAAAAGTTAGGTAGTTTGTTGATAATATTGATTAAATTGATAATAAACATAAGTGCGTTGTTATTATTGTTAAAAGTTAAGTATATTGCTATAAGTATTATAAACAAAAATGCATTGTTATAATAAACTAAAGTACATTGCTAATATTGTTTAACTATTGCATTGTGTTGCCATTTTTTTAGGTTGATAGGTTGCGTGCACAAGTTTCCACCATGGAATAACAACAACAAAAAATGAAAGAACAAATGGAATTGGTTATGAGGATGATGAATATGACTGGAAATCAACCCTGTGCTCCCCCTGATAATCCACCTGAGGACAATTGATAAGTATTTTGGAACAATTGAATTTGTAAACATTTGATATTGTTTGTTTTGTTAAGTAGTGCTTACTTTTGTAAGATATTTTGGATAATGGATTGAATGTGTCAAACTTGGTATTAGGGACGTTTTTTGGTGTATTTTATATGGTATTTGGGACAAATGTTAATTGAATGTGGTATTTGACAAAAAATTGGAAAATTTTAAATTAATTTTTTTTAAATAAAACGAAGTTAGCTACGAATATAGCTACGGATTTCCGTAGCTATTTACTTTCGTAGCTATTCCGTAGCTATTTAGTTACGTAGCTATTTGGATCTGTAGCTATTCCGTAGCTATTTAGTTCCATAGCTATTCCGTAGCTATCTAGTTCCGTAACTATTCCGTAGGAAATCTATAGCTATTTATTTCCATAGCTATAGTAGCTATGGAAAATTCCGTAGCTATTCTGTAGCGATTCTGTAGCTAATCCGTAGCTATAATTTAGCTACAGGCCATTATGCTAAAGCCAATTTTCCGTAGCAATTTCGTAGCTATCCGCTTATAGCTACGGAATAGCTACGGATTGTGCTGTAGCTATTGCACCAATTTTCTAGTAGTGTTTCCCTTGAAGGCCCTCCCAAGTGTTTTCAAAGCCAAAGGCAGTCTACCACATTTTTTAACAATACCTTCACCATGCAACTTAAGTGTTGGATTCTTGTCAAAGTTTTTTTCACCTACAGCATGCTGAGCAAATAATGACAGTGCATCTTCATCTGACAAAATTTCGAGAGGGTAAATTTCTTTTGAGTCCATCACTGAGGCAACCCTTGTATTCCGCATTGTAACAAGAACTCTACTTCCAGGTGCCCCTGCAAGAAGAGGGCTTTGTAGGCGTTCCAACTTACTGTGGTCTTCGTTCCAGACATCATCTAGAACAAGTAGGAACCTCTTATTCATAAGTTTATCTTTGATGGCCACATGAAGCTGATCAAGATTAGCAAAATCTTCTTTTTTCCCTGTTACTGCTTGATAAATATCCTTGCTAATTTTAAATACATCAAACTCTTGATCAGAAACAAAAACCCATGCCATGTGGTCAAAGTGATCCTTCACTGTCTCCTAGTTGTATAAAACTTTGGCAAGGGTGGTTTTGCCTATACCACCCATACCAACTATCGAAACTATGCTCACATTTTTATCACTTTCTTCATTTCCCAACAACTTCTCCAACAAAGTCATTTTATCCCCTTCCCGACCCATGATTTTGGACTCATCAACCAGTGAAGTTTCCTCCAACGGTCTCTCTGTTATATCTGATCTCAGAACAGCTACATTCAAACCAAGATCTTTTTTTTGGTCAACAACATCATGCAATTTGATGGTGACCTCTTCTAGCTTAGAACTCATGTGCTGACCATACATGATATTGCGAGGAGTGAAATTAGTACAGCAATTTGGGACGAACTTCAGTACCTAACTAGTGGTGGTGCTTGAATGAGCTTCTTGATTCAACTTGCGTCGCAGAGCTTCGGTGGCCAAATCATCAAGTACATCGTCTATGTCGTAGGCTAAATCCTGGAGGACGTTTACCCACAATTGAACAATTTTCTCTTTAATCTGCTTCTGGCTTGCATCACCAAGTACAGCTTGGATTAGGCGCAGGTTTTTCTTCCATTTGTTCAACTTAGAATCGATCCCTTCGGATCGAGCAAACTTCATCAAATCACCGGAGATCAACTTCTCACACAGCACGGTGATGACGGCGCTAACAATGATTTCAGCCATTGGAATTTAGAGAAAGGAAAGGTTCGGCTTTTTGTTAACGGCTTTGATTTCAAGAGATTAGAATTTCAGATAATAGAAAAAGGTACGTAGACAGAGTATATTAGTGCTGGAATCCACTATAGTATAGTAGGGTCCATAGTTTTCTTTATCGGGTCCGTCCTTTCTTCTTTCTTCCAGTGAGATTACTGAGATATTTTGCTATCCATTCTTTCTCAAAGATGTCCGTCCACCAGTTTACATAAATATCATTAATCGTTTCCTATTAGTCCCTTTTTGGTATATGAAATGAACACTTTATACCCTTTCTTGTAATTCATGATAAATACATAATAAAAATTTGAATATTTTTAATAAATTTATATCACTAAAATGAGTAATAAATTTAGAGAAGTAAAAACGTGTTTTTCATTCTTCAACAATCGATTTACAGAGGAGATTATATAGGATGTGAACACTAAACTGAAATCCTAGAATTCAGTAAACATTTAAACAGGATAACTATAAGACAAATAAAGATAACTATAGGATAGATAAAGATAATAACTATCCTTAATCTTAATACTCCCTCTCAAGTTGGAGTGTGTAAGTCATGAACACCTAACTTGTCATGTAGAAATTTGAACCAATCTGCACCAAGAGCCTTAGTGAAAATATCTACAACCTGAAAATCATAACGTACTACAAAAGTTTTAATCTCCCCACTGTTTACTCTTTCTCGCACAAAATAACAGTCCATCTCAACGTGTTTTGTTCGTTCATGATAAACTGGATTCGCTGCAATGTGTCTAGCTTCTTCATTGTCACACATAAGAGGAGTTGAGCCACTCTGCACAACATCCAAATCTTGAAGAAGCCACATGAGCCATAAAACGTCACATATAGTACTTGCATCGACCTATATTATGCTTCCGTTGAAGATCTAGACACTACTGTTTGCTTTTTCGTTCTCCAGCAAATTGGTGATCCTCCCAGAGTAATGAAATATCACGTAGTAGTTGGACAACTTAACCAACTAGCATCACAGTAGGCCACAAGATCTTAAGAACCAGCTGAAGGAAGATATAAACCTTGACCTGGTGTACCCTTCAAATACCATAGAACTCTGTGAGCAGCATCCATATGTGATTTTCTAGGGTTGCTCAAGAATTGACTTAGTTGGTTCACTGCAAATGTTATATCAGGTCGAGTAACTGTGAGGTAAAGTAGACGTCCCACCAATCTTCTATAACGTGAGGCATCAACTTCTGGGCTTTCATCATCTTTTCTCAGCTTAACATTCTGTTCCATCGAAAAATTACTAGGCTTGCTTGCAGAAACACCACAATCTTCTAGAATGTCAAGGGTGTATTTTCTTTGACTTATCACGAAACCTTCCTTTGACCGAGAAACTTCAATACCAAGAGAATATTTGAGAGGACCCAAATCTTTAATGCTAAACCAGTTCTGTAAATGATTTTTCACCTCATTTATTTTATTGATGTCATTTCCCATTAACAGGACGTCATCAACATAAATGAGGGCAACAATGTGGACAGAACACATCCTAAATATGAACATAGAGTAGTCTGCCTTGCTTTGTTGAAAGCCTATCTCCACAAGAGCTTTTGTAAACTTTTGGTACCAATTCCTTGAAGCTTGACGAAGACCATAAATAGACTTGTGTAATTTACATACCCGATTTTCAACCTTTTCACGAAAACCTTGAGGCACCTTCATGTAAACATCTTCTTCTAGATCACCATGCAAGAAGGCGTTATTTACGTCTATCTGGTGTACTTCCCATTCTTTCTTTGCAGCAACAGCCAAAGCACATCTGACAGTCACGAGCTTAGCTACTAGGGCAAAAGTTTCATGAAAATCGATACCTTCTATTTGAGTGTATCCTTTTGCTACCAATCGAGCTTTGAACCTTTCTACTTCTCCATTAGGTTTATATTTAATCTTATAAACCCATTTTGAGTCAATGGCTTTCTTTCCCTTTGGAAGTTCCATTAAGGACCAAGTACCATTTTCTTCAAGTGCAGTAATCTCCTTTTTCATTGCCTCGATCCATCTTGGATCTTTCATGGCTTGAGAGAAATCTCTTGGTTCATTGTTTGAAGTTATTGCTGCTAAGAACGCTCGATGTGTTTTTGAAAATTTATCATAAGAAATAAATTGAGAGAGAGGATATACCAGATTATTAGCAGATGCTGAAGAACCTGAAGAGGGGATGGGCGTAGAGCTATCAAGTGATGGTGGTAACTCGATCACGAAGTCTTCCAAATATTTGGGCTTTGACCGTATGCGAGTGCCATGTCTAATTCCCGTTTCTTGGTCTGTTTGCACTTGTGTGTTATTATTGCTAGTGGTGGTAGGTGCAATGGAATTTAATGGTTGTGGTTCAGCGATTTGAGGGTTATCACTGTCACTTGTCTCATTGTTCCAGTCTAATTTTTCAACTGAAACTTCAACATCTTCTTGTATATATTATCCAACGCATCAACCAGATGATCATTTGCTATCACCTTATGTCCTTCATAGTTTTCTCCAAAAGGAAACTTACTCTCAATGAACGTGACACTACGAGTAACATGTATTCTTTGATCTTTCAAGTCATACAGTTTGTACCCTTTTTGACCCATTGGATACCCTATGAAAATGCAAGGTCTCCCTTTGTCACCAAATTTATCGTATTTTCCCAATGCATTACGTGCGTAAGCTAAGCAGCCAAAAACCCGTAGGTGTTCATATGTGGGTGATTTCCCAAGAAGTATTTCATGTGGAGTTTTATTTTCTAGGACTGGAGTGGGCAACTTGTTTATTATATATGTTGCGGTTAGTATACAATCACCCCAAAATTCTATTGGAAGTGAGGCTTGGAATCGCAATGCTCTTCCCATTTCTAATAAATTTCTGTGCCTTCTCTCTACAACGCCATTTTGTTGTGGCGTGTATGGACATGAGGTTTCTAGTAGTATGCCTTTATCCTTGTAAAACTCAAGCATGAAACTAGACATAAATTCTGATCCATTATCTGTTCTTATTCTTTTGATGTTCTTGTTAAATTGTGTTACTATCAACTTATGAAACGTGACTAGTAGCTGAGCAACATCAGACTTATTTTTCATCAAATACACCCACACTCCACGACTATAATCATCGACTATTGATAAAAAATAATGTGCACCATCAAGAGAAGCATATTTATATCTACCCCATATATCAACATGTATTAAATCAAAGCATTCTTTTGTTTTTGAAAAACTTATTGGAAAAGGAAGTCGAGTTTGCTTTGCTCGTATACAAGAATCACAAGATTGACTATAAGTGCCTACATCTCCTATTTGTTGTATATTATGAAGTACTCCCTCTGAAGTATGACCAAGTCTTTTATGCCAAACATCATATTTTCTTAGAACCGCCATTGCAGCTTTCTTCTTTTCCATCGGCTCTAAGTTGCAAAGCCCATCACGCTCCTTAACCATCCCAATCAGGTTCTTCAAATGTAAGTCCTGTATGTAACATAGGTCGGGCAAAAACGTTAATGTGCAACCTAAATCACGAGTTATTTTGCTAACTGAAAGTAAATTGCAGTTAAAATCTGGTACATTCAACACATTTTTTAATTTGAGATCTGGTGATATTTGTATATCACCAATTCCTTTGACTGTTACTAGCTTTCCATTAGGTATGGAAACAGAAGAGTTGTTTATCTTATTATTCATGGTTTTTGACCACTTTGTAAGATGAGTTATGTGGTTGCTGGCACCGGAATCAATGATCCAATTGTTTATTCTTTCGACCTTACCAGTCATGTTGGCTGTTGGATTGATCTTTTGCTCACTTAGTTTTGCTGTTTTTAGAAGTTGAAGAAGCTTTTCATAGTCTTCTTTAGCAAGAACCGGCAACTGTTGTGAGGTTTCTCCGGTAACAGTAGCAGCTCGCGGTTGTTGTTGTCGAGTCTTACCTGATTGATTCTTTCTTGTTGTAGACTTGGTGGACACCAATCAGGATAACCTATTAATTCAAAACACCCTTCAAGTGTGTGTCCAGTTTTATGGCAATATGAACACCATCTATCCTCATTCTTTCCATTCTTGCTTCTTTCTTCCTTCTTGTTCAGATTACTTGAAGAATTTCCTTTGACCCCAATTTTTGGAGTTGTTTTGTTGTTGGTGTGGAAAGCAGCAGCTTCTCCCATTACACTTCGAGAAGCACCAATCCTTTTCTGTTGTTCATCCTGACTCAGTAAATGGTATGCATTGTTTAGTGTTGGTAGAGGATCAGTACTCAGAATTTGTGTCCTTAGGGCACCATATTCTTCATTGAGTCCCATTAAAAAGTCATACAAACTCTCCTTTTCCCTTGATCTTGCAATCTCTTTTGTGATTTCACACTTGCAACCTTGGCAGGTGCATGCTGGTAACGGGTTAATTGATTGTACTTCATCCCAAATATCTCTCAGCTTTGTGTAATACCCTGATACCGTCATATTTTCTGGGCAGATTCTGGTTATCGTTCTTCTTAGTTCATATGATCTTGGAGCATTCTCTCTTCCAAATCTTTCTTCAAGGTCCAGCCAAATATCACGAGCAGTAGCAACGTATTTTACGCTGCTCTTAATCTCCTTTTCCATAACGCTAACAAGCCAACCTCTTACCATGGCATTACATCTTTTCCAGTTCATCAAATCTGCAGATCCTTCTTCTGGCATGGGAAAGGAATTGTCAATGAATCCAACCTTGTTCTTGGCAAACAAGGCATTCATAATCTCATTCTTCCAATCACTGTAGTAACCATCATGGAGAAGATTCTCTCCAACGAATTTTAATCCAGGGTGATCAGCAGAAGTGAGAAAATAAGGTGATACATCGATTGTCTTCCCTGTGGGTGATGGTGGTGTTGAGTAGGTGAAGCCACTCAAATATTAGTGCCAGAAATCATGGTTGAAAAGCAAGTCAAAAGTGGAAAAGGAGAGATGATCCAGTTTTCCCGTATGCATGTTTTATGGGCTGCTT